GTGTGTGTGTGTGTGTGTGTGTGTGTGTGTGTGTGTGTGTGTGTACATTAGAACACGTGTGCCGAATCCAGCATCTGTGGTTAATTTTGTGTGTTTGTGAGTGCAGGAGTTTCCAGATATGTATAAAAAGAGAAGGAAAAAAAAAAAGAGCACTCCAGTGGGAGAAATTGTTCTCATGTCTTTGTGTTGCACCCAAATTTTTGTTTTTTGTTGCAGAAACTGAAAAGTCAAAGTGCTGCCGTCTGCTCAAACGGGCTCCATCAGCCAAACAGCAGGTTCCAGCGGGAACTAATAAAAACAGACTTGTTTTCACGCCAGCCGGTTGCAGCGACATCGCCTCTGTTGTTTGTTGTCGACCGGCGTTTCAGCTCCGTCACGTGAGCGCAGCAAACAAGAGGAGCTGGACTTCACCGGAGCGTTTCAAAGAATGCCTATCAACCAGTCGAGGAATGGCAACGAGTTAAAGGGTGATGTCAGTTCAGTCCGTTACAGACGTCCATTGTAACGACCTGCCTGAGAGTCAGTGACTAAACATTAAGCAGATGTGTGGAAACGTGCTTCCTCTGCTTTAAAAAAAAAAACCTCTTGTGCCAAGATTTGCCTGGAACAGCTCACATCAGGAGGATTCTGTACAGACCTCATGCTCGCTGGTGATTTCTCTGTAGTTTCTTGTTAGATAACAGCAGTTTCAGTTACGTATCGGTGCGGTTCAATAACAACAACAAAAAAGTCCAACAAAACAGCTGATTGTGATGAATCTTGTGTTAATAGATGTCATTTGTACTGTGTTTTATCGTGAGGTTGTACATACGTTTTGTGAACTTGTGTTGGAGATTTTCTACGTCGCCTGATGTGTTTTGGAATTTATCCGGTTTTGTATCAAATGTTTCGGTGAATGTGAGCCTTTTTTTTTTGTTTGTTTTTGTTTTAACAACATGAACACCACAGAGCAGAATATTTTCACCCCCCCAGGGATGATTAGTTGTTGCTAAACCTTGTTTAAACAGCCCACCTTCCCTCAGAAGAAGAGAATGTAGGAAAATGCTCTGTGGTGTTCATGTTTTTGAGTTTAAAGCACTTTATGTTTTTTTAGCCTCCTGCATTTGACTTGTGACTTAAAACAAAAATATATATATATATAGTTGAATGGGATAAGCCAGAAAGATCAAACTGTGTTTTCTGTAAAATCTAATGTGGTCTCACATGCCAGCTGTTGGTAATGTAAGTTATTTATTGAATAAAAGACAATGTCTTGTCTATGTGCTCCCYCTCCCCTTTTGTGTTTACTGGAAAGCATTTCTGAAAAACCTTGCTGTAGTTTGTGGTGTTTTACTGCCCCCTGGTGGAGACATGTTGACTTACACTCTATTCAGCAAAAGTGAAATTAATCCCAATTCTTAAGATTTACATGAAATTTTTTTTTATTCTAAATCAGGGAGGTCAAACTCAATTACACAAGAGGGKCAAAATTAAAAACTTGGTCCAAACCAAGGACAAATCTCTACTTATTGAAAGTGTTTAACAGATTATTTTTATAGAAATACCAATCACCTTTAACAAATTGTTTTATGTAGCACTTAGAAAATACGTAATCAAATGGATAACAAAATAATATAAAATTTAGCAGCCACTATTTTTTAATAATTCTTACTGATGCACRTTATCACACTCCAGCAAATCAGTCAAAAAAGAAAACTCACTAAAAAGGCAATTATTTGACTTTAAAATAAAATACTGAAATTATTGGAGTTTATTCTCTGTTGCTCTTTCTACACCAAAATTACTAAAAAATAAAATTCTTAGTTTGAAAGTTTGACAGTTGTCATGAAAAGAATGCACTCATTCCAGTAACAAAAAGAAAAACCATAAAACTACATTTTAAGTGTTACCCTTTGGGACCGGATAAAACATTAACGAGGGCTGGATTTGGCCTGCGGGCCTCGAGTTTGACATGTTCTAAACCAACAAAATAAATGCTGTTAAAGGACCAAGAAGTAGCTAATGTGAAGTTTTACTGCTAAATAAATCGTACCTCTGTAAACTTCCATTAACTCAAAGTTTGTTTTTCTTTCTGCTGCTCTTCTGTAGTCACCACAGTGAGCAAACTCGTCAAGATTTGGATTAATTGTTCTGATATAATCTGATCTCAAACTGCTGAGCTATTGCAACCCCAAACTAATGAAAGTAGTTCAACTAAATTACATAATCACAACCTGTAAGGCATAACATGTTTATACTTATTTGTCTAACAAATTCTAATGAACTACATTTACAAACTTTTCAGGATTATTTAAAATAAATTTCCTTTCCTCCTTGTTTTACAGATACGGGTCACATAATTTGATATGTACAATCTTTTTGAAATTGAGCAAAAACTTGTAACAAAACCAAAAAGGTTTGGTGTAGATRGACCTCTAATCTACATCCAGTGATAACGCTGTCATTAATCTGYCCAGTGGTTCATGAGATATTTTGCTAACAGTCGAGGGGAAAAGTACTTCAGCTATATAGCAACTAGGGCTAAACATCAGTACCACACATTTATTGTAATACACACAAAAATCACCCATTTCCTTTTGTGTAACAAAGTTTATTACATATGTCCAAACATATGTACAGCACATTCCTCATGAGTTTGTTTTGATTTCCCCACAAATATAAATTATTTTGATTTTTCTTACAGAGCATATATTACAGGAAYTTCAGGTTTGTGGAAAAAAAGAAAAAAAGAGCTGTTCACTGAAACAAACGCACCCCCCACTGACCAAAAACACCCTTTTTCATTTATTTTATAGAATTTTCTCCACTAAAATCAACTGCTTCAGGAGCTGGGAAAGTTCAGGAATTATCAGAAAATTGTGACTTTTTCACAATTTTGAACCATGATTTAGCTTTAAAACAAAAGTCAGACTTGGCTCCAGGTTAATACAATGGCAGGTTCATAGTGACTTGCTTGAAAGAAAAGGCTTCTATAATTTAGCTTTTTACAGACAAGTGCTGACTTTATGTGAATTAACACCCTTCTTAAGCGCCGTAATACTGACAGGCTGTAATAAAGTATCCTTCTGATTTATAGTGTTTTTAATCTGTGCAGAAGTTGGATGAAATACTGCTTAGAGACAAGAAACAGAGTTAAAGTGAATAGAGCAGAGCGAGGGGCAGATTGTAATAAATTATACAGCTACATAATTAAAGAAAGAGCATTTAGTTGAACATGAAGAAATGTTGGTTAAAATCGTAACGAGTGATCTGTGAGGAACAGACGGGTTTCCAGCAAAGTTCCACCAATGGTTTCAGCTACACGATCGAACTGATTCAAAGGTGCAAACGATGACATCATCTGCAATACTTAAAGCTAAATACAAAACAAAACAACAAAAATAATCCTCATGGTTCTTCTGGGAATATTCCCCACATGTTTATTAACACAAGGCCGATACTTTCAGGCACTTTTAGGAACTCGTGTCCTAACTTTGCTTTAATTAGTCCATGGGACTAAACGTTTTTAAGTTTCTGCTCAGTCTTCAGCTGCTGAGCTTCAGGTCATTAGAATCAAGTTTAGAGTTTCCATCTTTAAGACAGATGGAAGCAAAACTTCTTCCTTCAGGAAAGAAATCATTTTCAGCCACGATCGCTGATAAACATCGAGGTCAAACTCGTCCATTGTTAACTCTGGACCCGGACCAGTTTCTGTGGCTCTGGACCCGGACCAGTTCCTGTGACTCTGGACCCTGGACTGGGATCAGTTTCTGTGGCTCTGGACCCTGGACTGGGATCAGTTTCTGTGGCTCTGGACCCTGGACTGGGATCCGTTTCTGTGGCTCTGGACCCTGGACTGGGATCAGTTTCTGTGGTTCTGGACTGGGACCAGTTTCTGTGGCTCTGGACCCAGATCAGTTTCTGAGTCAGAGCCGACGGGCCTATGCTTTCCTGTTGTTCCAGTTCGGGTCCACCGCGACGCCGGGCTCCATGGGACGCTCCAGTGGAGAGCGGGCGTCCGGCGGAGACTTCTGAGCCTGCGGGGAGCGGGGGTCCAACAGTGGAGGGGGTTTGTCAGGGTGGAAGGGTCTGCTGTAGTGATCTGGCCCAGGAGGACCTGGTGGCCTGTGGTCCGGCATCCTCCTGAAGTCCTGAGGAGGGCCCTGGTTGTAAGATGGGTGGAAATCGTCGGGGCGTCTTCGCTTGGGGTCCGGATGCCTGAAAGAAATCGTTATTAGAATCCGTCTAAACTATTTCTTCAGATGAAAGTTTCAGTTTTTCTACGACACGTTCAGACTCTGACCTGTCATAATAGGGTCTGTGAGCCCTGTGGTCCCGGTCGTTGCCGTACTGCTCGTACGGCCTTTTCCGAGGAGAGAYGTTGTTGCGGTAGCCCCCTGGGCTGCGATACGTGTCTCCGTGAGGACGTCGGTCTGCGTAGTGATCCTTGTAGCGGTGAGGGTCATAGGAATGGTGGCGGTCTCCCTGCCACGGCTGGCTGCTGTTCCCGGGGTAGCTGTATTTACGGTCTCTCTGCCAGTCTTCTCGATCTGCAGCAAACCAACAAGCAGCGTTAATCTTTTTTTAGTCTTTGTTTTGTTTTTAACAGCCTGCCTGAGGTTGAAACAGCAGCAGTACCGTTGCTGCCGAAGTGGCGCTTGTTAGAGTTGTACGCCTCTCTGTGGTGTCCGTGGGGTCCAGGCCCGGCCCCGTGAGACAGAGATTTGGAGGTTGGATGAGGTCCTGTTGAGTCTCGACTGGAGCCGGAGGCTTCTGGTCTGAACGACTTGATTCTCCCAGAGACGTCTTCCTTTTTCTTGTGGTCTTTCTATGGGCGTAAGAAATGATTTGACACCTTGAAATATCACAAGATTTCCTTTCCTGATACTGTATCAATTTGTAAATAAGGTTTAAAATTCATATCACAGAATAAATTGAATCCCTTCACAGTAACAATATATATTGCGGTAGAAAATTATAATGTAATTTTAAGAGCATTTATTTAGCAGAAAACTGTAATCATTATCAAAGCCAGCATTTTTGCTGTAGTGCAAATGAACATAACAGAAGTATAAAAGAGTGTTTTATATATAGTGCAAAACCGTTTCAACAACAAACAAAAACATTTCTCAAAATTTCAACAATATCAAAATAAAGCGGATGTTACAACCAGAACTAGTCATTTAGACATAAAAACAACTCTAAGTTGGCATAAGTTGTCTGAAGTGTTATAGTGTGACAGGACCTTAAGCTGCACAGTCCTGTCRTAGAACAATTTCAGATAACTGGAATGAAAGTGTGGTGAAACAAATAAATGTAATATTTGCCTGCCACACATTGAGCTTCTGCCTGCTGAACTTATCGGCTGCTGCTCTGCTGCTCTCAGAGCAGAACTGTTACATTAAGGCCCTGTCACACTAGACAACTTATGAACATTTTAAAGTCAYCTACATTGAAGCTGGAAYTGAAAAAATCAACAGGAAGCTTCTTTCGGTGTGTACACTATGTAATTCTAACAAATTGCTCAAATATACAACTTTTATTAGCAATTTAGACATAAAAAATGTTTCATTAGTTGGCATAAGTTGCCTAGTGTGACAGGGCCTTTAGCAAGATGGATTTATGACTGAACAAACGTCAATGTCTTTTTTTCATCTCTGTGGGTAACAATACATAAAAAACAAGTTTTTTTTCTCCGACAACTTGGGTGTGAAAAAAACTACGGCTGTTAATGCTTTGCTCTGCTCGACCTGCAGCAGGAGGGAGGAAATGATCCCGCGACACAACGTAACGTTTCTACAGGGGAGGGGGAAGTTTTGAGGATTTATTCTCTCTATACGCGTTTTAAAACATTATATTTATTCATTTATTTTCAGAATATTTGGAACTCCTGTTCAGTCGTCTCTGCACTCGCAGCCATGTTGACACAGGTGTGATGACGTAACCAACGACAGGACAGTAGATGGTAAATTTCTACCGTAGGCCCACTTCATACCGTTTCTACCGTCTATCGCAGCCCTATTTAAAATGTAAACTTTCATGACAGCGGTTCATTTTTGTGTTGTATTTTACCCTCTGACCACTAGTTTGCAGCAGTCAACCTGCTGTTCGGCTCCTCCACTCCTGAGGGGCCTGACAGTATGACGCTAACTCAAGTGTTAGCGCTAAGTATCGACGGCTGAATCAGAGTGGATTAGATCAGCATCCACTGCCTTCAAAGCTGAGGTGTGGAATCATTTAAAGGTTCAAAATAAAGAAGGAAGAAAGAACTCTGATTAAAGCTATGCTGTTTGCAAAATCTGCCACGCCGAAAACGACAAATCTTCGTGGCTAGACCAGAACGACTTATCGCTAGCAGCTAACAAAGTGAGCGGATTTGGCTCGATTAATTTGAAAACGGGTCGACTCTTCCTGCCAGCGTACCTCTTCTTCATGAGACCTCTTCTTCTGGGCCATCTTGTACAACTTGTGAAGCTTCTTTGCACTGAACTCTGTAAACTTGGACACAAAGATCCAGAGGTTCCTGGCAGAAAGAAGGTAACCCAGAATAAATACCAGGCCTGAAAAAGATGATTTTGTTTTATTTGGTCGAGACTTGCGATACCTTCTCCAGATCTTCACGTGTTCCTGGTCGCTGTAAGCTTTAAGGCACTCTGTGATCCGGTCTCCGATCTTCAGCAGACATGTGCGCGTGTGCTGCAGCTGCTCCTGGTCCGTCAGCCCTTCATCCGGTTTGTCCAGCTGCTTCAGGGCCTTTTTCACTGGCCTCATTCGCTCTTTACACTACATACACACACACACACACACACACACACACACACACACAGATTTAAGTTTAGGGAAAATAAACTACTCTGACTTTATCATTATAGAACCTGGACAGAAAGCTTACAATGCTGAAGGTTTCCTGGTCAAGCTCATCGTCCTCCTTTCCTTCGATAGGAACGGGCTCAGAACCGGCCGTTATGTGAACCGGACCTTGTGTTTTCTTCCCTTTGGCTCCTTTAGCCTGAGAGACAAAAACAGCAAACTGTTTAAACCTGAGCTGCCAATCACGTTATGTAAAATATTTCACATTTAAAAGATGAAAACAAACACTTTCTACCTTCTCCTTCCTGGGTCTGGAAGTCTTCTTTTTGTCTCCATCCTTCTCCTTTTTAGGCGTCCCCCGTTTATCTTTGTTCTCCTTGTTGTCCTTCTTCTTCTGCCTCTTTTTCGCGGTCGGCTTCTCAGATCCGCCGTCCTGCTCGGAACACAACAGAGGCGGGTCAGTCGGAGAAAAGATGGCRGTGCGGTTTCTAAAGGCGGCCTAACTGACCTTCACCTCGCCCTCCTCTGACGGGTTGTCGGACAGCCGCGGGGAGGAGATATCGTTGCCCTGCTCGTCTTTGAGAACCTTTTCCTTTTTCACTCGAGGCTTCCTCTTCTTCACTTTCACCTTTAAAGGAGAAACCAGATGAGCGAAGGAAGGCGAGAGTTTTGATTAGTTTACGTGTAAATTCTCCACAGACAGACCTCGTCTCCTGGTTTAGACGTGTCCGTGTTGTCTTGTTCCTTCTTGAGCAGTTTGAGCAGATACTCGGCTCTCGCCTGCAGCTGCTTGGCCTGAGGTTTCTTGTTCGGATCATCTGGAAGAATCTGGTTGAAGGACATGGAAATTTAATTCTGACTCCACATTTACAGACAGTCCTAACAAATGTATCAGTAGGGTTGCAAACAGGCAGAAAATTATCATTTTTATAAACTTTTGTTGGAATTGAAGCTGGAGAATTAAGACACAACACTGGAAATTTTTCATGGGAGTTCACATCACAKCTAAAACTAAAATATGTATATTTTGTTTAGAACGCCCGYGTGCCGTTTTTGTTTCGTTTTATTTTGAAAAGTCTTTGTGTTTCCGTTCAACCTGTGTCCGTGTTCACTGCATCAAACTTGCCGTCTAGGCCCTCCTCTTTCGATTGACACCTCATTTGACCAACTGGGTTCAAGTATCRGCTGTCCAGAGCCAACAATATATGAGAAGTGACCAACTTCCGGTTTCCGTCATCCTGGGCTAGATTGACTGTAGAATCGGCCAGTCAGCTCCGAGCTTCATTCTGATGCCACAGCTGTGTAGCCAATCACCGTACCTATTATTTGGTATATACATATATATTGAGGGGGTGGGAACTTTAATGACGGACAAGGTAAACACGGAGTAGGTCGCCATATTTAGGCAGTCTTGCTATGCTATATGCTACCGAAGAAAACCACACTCACAGGAAAACGTTTTTTTTTTCCCCATCGTTTTTTGGCCAGTTAGCTGACTAAACATGCTGATAAGATGAAAATGTATTTGTTATTAAGTGTTTCGAGTGCTTCAAGACATGGAAGAGTGATTTTTGTGGCCAGGAGAAGTAAAAATGTATGGATAAAAACACTTCCGGTCGGCCATTTTGAGTCGCTAACTTCGTCATATTTGAGGACAAAAATGCATCAAATGTGAGTGAAAAACAAATATTTTTTCGCTGCTGGTGGTTTTATAAGCTGTGTGGAATGTTAATGCTTTGAAAGAAATAAGGATATATTTGTTTATTCTTGTGTTTTGGCTGTTTAGTGGTGAAAATTCGTCTGAATGTACTCCAGTTGGTCTAAATGTTTCTGAACATTAATATATATATTTTTATTTAATAAAGCTGTGAGTAAATATGGATGGTAGAATGTGTTTTGTGGGGGKTTTATCTTTAATTTGAGCCCAGAGTGAAGTCCCTGCTTTGAAGCATTTAGAAATTACAGTGTTTTAGACCAAGTGTAAAGTTTGGACATGTTGTACATGTGTACAAATATGCAAATGGGACATGCTGGATTGTACTATGTCTCAAATATTCATATTTTATGCTACTGTTACCAAATTTGAACTAGTAATAGTTGGGAATAGCTCACTCCCTTCATGTTGTGATACTTTATTAATAAAAAATAAAAATTTAGGGAGAAAAATATCTTGATTTTTGTGTATTTTACTTTAATTTACTAAACACTAGTTACAGTTATAAAGAATGTGACTGCTGAAGTTAAAAATTCAGATTAGCTTTAAAAAGAGACCAAGCTTGTGAATTTACTCTAAAGGATTCAAAAGCAGTACTTCATTTAATTTGTGTGTACTTTTTAAGGCGTTTTATGGTATTTTATGCCTGAAGGTTAACAAGGCAGGTGATGTTTGTAAAAGTTTATAAAAACAATGTTTATTTAATTTAGATATAATGATGTTACTGGTGGCAACAAATAATTTTAAAGTTTCTCCAGTTTTTACTTATTTGTTGTTGTAATCCTCATGCATACAATCCATAAATATTCATGTTTTTTTTTCCATAAAAATTTTTCCATTTGCATAAAATAAATACAAAAAACTTAAAACGACAGAATTTATGTACAAATAACAAAATTTTATTTACACAACTCTGAACAACATTATTTTTGCTGTTTGATCATTATTTTATTGTTTTATCCAAACAAAAATAAGTCTAATTCTAGTAAATTGTTTGACAACAAAACATCCTTCCTTACTTATTTTATTGTTTTATCCAAACAAAAATAAGTCTAATTCTAGTAAATTGTTTGACAACAAAACATCCTTCCTTACTTAGTAGGTTAGTTTATATTAAACTAGTAATAAAACGTACATTTTAAAAATGTGAATAAAATTTGCTTGCCTTATCAGCCAGTTTGAGCTCAGGGTCGGTCTTGATCAGATCCCAGTTGCCAAAGCCGTGTTCGTAAGTCCCGAGCAGGAGCTGAACGTCATCCTGCAGGTCCCAGTCCACATCGAAGTGAGCCACTTTAACCCTGCAGGTCAGCTGGAACCTGAAGGTCAACAAAAACATACAGTTTTCTAAACATCTTACTTTAAAATACTAAAGTCTATTATTTTACGTTTGAGTTGTTTCTCACTTATTCCTCTCRGCAGGGTTGGGGGGCACAGCTTTGTGAAGCGGCTCAAACTCCTCCTCGTGCTGGATGATGGACTTGGCGTTGACCTGAACGCCTGAAATCTTGATGTTGATTCCTCGTCGTTTCCCGGGACCTTTGGCTGGACCGACGTTACATTAGGAAGTGAAACAATGATTTGAGGAAATCCTTCCTGTTAAGCAACAAACCTTCAACTGGGTTCTCCTTCAGCTGCTCCTCGTGCTCCTGTATCGCCGTCACGCAGCTGCTGTGAATCAGTTCCCCGAGTCTCTTCAGGTCTGCTATGGACTTGTCCACCAGCTCAGAGTCTCGAGCAATGGCCTCCAACCTGAACACAGGAGTCGAAAGATTAAAAAAATAAATAAACAAATAAAAACAAGAAATGAAACGGAAACATCTATTTATCGTTTGTGAAACAGAACACCTACCGTTCCAGAGGTGATCCAAACTTCTTGTACGCTTTAATGAACCTGTTGATAAAACATCGAGTTTTTATTGGTCTTCTTAGTGGTTAGTAAATACAACTAAATCTTAATACAATATTTCACCTGCGGATCTCTGCGTCGGTGAAACCCTCCACAGTGTTTTTGCGAGCTCGAGGTCGGCCTCTTCTCTTGGGTTTCTTGTCGTCGTCGCTGTCGTCAGTATCGCTGTCGGAGCCTGACGAGCGCTGCTTCAGCTTGGAGCCCACGTCACTGTCGCTGTCATTGGCCTGAGCCTGAAGGACAAAAAGAGTTTTCAGGGGATTGAAGTGGTTTGATCCCAAAACTGAACGGTTTTGTGCGGGCGGGTCTTACCCGTTTGTTGGAGCTCCTGCTTCTGGGCAGCATGAAGATGTCCTCCATCTCCCGCTGCTTCTCCTCCTCCTCCACTTTGCGCCGCTGATCCTCGGGAATGATGTCATCCCAATCCCGTACGGACTTCTCATCCAACTCTGGAGCTGTGTCCTCCATACTGGAGAAGTTAGCAACCTGCAAAATAAATAAWTATATAAATAAAAAATTGGAGAGTGTGACTAAAATGCAGAAGTATTTTTATTTATTTTTTCTACAGTATCTGACAAAAGACATCATGATGAAAGCAGAACACACCTTAAACTGGGACAGAAGTTCATCTGTGGCACTTGAGCCTTGATCACTTTCTCTTGTTTCAGCCAATCTTAAGATCTCATCGATGTCCATCTCCTACAGGAACCATCAAACCGTTGAGTTCTTGTTTCAACACAAAGTTTCAGTCCACAGCAGATAATACACTCTGCGATACCTGAGGTTCAGATTCTTCTCCTTCTGCCTCCTTGAAAAGATCTTCTGCACCAAACTTGAGAATTGCTGTCAGTTCTTCTTTGTTGAAAGGGTTTGAACTTTAAAAAAAGAAGTAGAAACATTAAATTCTGCTGAAAGCTGTTTAAACTAAAGCAGCAAAACTTTAACAACTTACTTTGTGCTTCCTGAACTGTTGTCCAAAACGGTTCGGCCGGTGGTGTCCATTCTCTGGATGACCAGATGGTCCAAAACCATCTTCTTCTTCGCCCTCTCGATGATGTCCTCCTCCACCGTTCCTTTTGTGACGAGTCGGTAAATGTTCACCTGGAAGAGGAACGGCACGGCTTGACTTCAGGGACGAGGTTTGCAGCTCGGCAGCTCGTCGCTGTGAATAAAAGCCGGGAATCACCTGTTTCTTCTGTCCGATCCTGTGAGCTCGGGCCTGAGCCTGCAGGTCGTTCTGAGGGTTCCAGTCCGAGTCGAAGATGACCACCGTGTCTGCAGAGGCCAAGTTAATGCCCAAACCTCCAGCTCGGGTCGACAACAGGAAGCAGAAATCCTACGAGACAAAGAGAACAGAATTATTAAACAGACTTCATGCACCTAATTATGTRAACTTTTAGACTTTTTTTATATTTTATAAAACGTGGACCTTAAGGAGCCTTGGTATCATTTTACTGCAGCTTCAACAAATATTTAGGGCAACAACTGGGATAAAATCCTAACTTTACTTACCTCTGAGCCTTCTGCATTAAAGTGGTCGAGTGCTTGCTTTCGGATTTCTCCCTTTATGGAACCATCTAAGCGCTGAAGAGAAGAACAGGAGACATTRGTGCCAACCGTTACATTATTCTGCAGAACTCCCAAAGAAACGCTTCCAGACCAACAACAGGCTGACGCTCAGAGCAAAAACAATCCAAGTAGGTGACTTGCAGAACTCCAGCTGGTCTCTAGCAGCAAATAACTTGTTGATATAAATAAACACATGAAGCTCTGTGTGCGACACTGATATCTGATCTTGGTCAGGGGCTAATCTGCTCAGTGCAACCTCCAAAACACCCTCCAATATAAAACCCCCAAGAGTTAAGAACTGAAACCTGTCTTAAGGCTGGTTTCTTCTGAAGAATAGCATCAAATTTACCAGGAAACATCAAATAGCTTTTATTATTTTTATTATAGACTTACAGAAAAAAATCCAAATATCTGTGAGGCTCACCTGAAAAGGATACCTCTTCTTTGTGAGATACTCGGCCAGGATGTCCAACATCCGAACCATCTGGGAGAAAATCAGGACCCGGTTTCCTCTTTCCCGGAGTCGAGTGAGTAGCTTGTCCAGAAGAACCAGCTTCCCGCTGCCCCTTACTACAGCCTGAAATGCACCGTTTATCAGAAAACATCAAAACAAGGCAAAGTGCTGGAGCAGAGCAGAGAAAGTTTTTCTTCGCAGAGGCGTCAAACTCATCCTGAGGAGACGATCCTACCTGCTGCAGGTTTTCCTGTTGGGTTTCACCGTCTCCCTCCTCAGGATGTTTGATAAGAAAACTGTGGTTGCAGCACTTTTTCAGCTCCATCACAATGTTCAGGAAGCCCGAGGAGCTGCCGCGAGTGCCTTTGGAGAGTGCTTTGTAATTTCTCGTTAAAATCCACCTGGAGAACAGAGAGTGGGGAGGAGCAGCTGCTGTAACATGTGCTTTCTTTTCATTATCCATGAGAATCTCACCAAAAAGACAAAAAAMCCTGATCCTACTTGTAAAACTGTTTCTGCTGTGCAGTCATGTCGACACGGAGGATTTGCTCCACTTTGGCGGGGAGAGACTTCTCCACGTCCTTTTTGACTCGACGGAGCAGGAAAGGCTCCAGGACTTTGTGAAGGCTGTGGTAACCATTATCTCGGCCTTTACCGTGGTCGTCCTCAAAATCCTCCCAGGAATCAAACCTGCGGTGCGGAATTCAAAACGTGACAAAGCTGGACAGCTTCTGTCTGACACGGTTCTAGGCGTGTGAAGCGGGAACATACTTGTCGGGCATGAGGAAGTGCAACAAAGACCAGAGCTCCTTCAGGGAGTTCTGCARAGGAGTGCCGGTGATGAGGAGTCTGTGGTTAGACCTGAACTCCATTAAGGTCTTGTAGAGCAGGGAGTCGTCGTTCTTCAGCCTGTGAGCTTCATCCACGCCCAGAAAAGCCCAGTTAATGTTTCCGAGGACCCCCTGAAGTCAAACGTTAGCGGGGCGATTAGCGACAGACCCTTGTTATTAACCCAAACAGAAACAATGAGGAGAAAAGCCCCACCTTGTCTTTGAGTAGAATCTCATAAGTGGTGAGCAGTGCATTAAAACGGATTCTTTTGGTTTGGTGGTTCACCCACTCGTAGTCACGAATCTTAACCACAAAAAAAAAAAAATTAATAAAAATTTATTAAACATTGAGTACTCACCACAAAATATACCAAGATAATCTCAGGTCAAATTAAACCTACTGTTTTCCTGCTCATGACGTCGCCGAGGTAGACCACCACGTTCATGTCCGGGGCCCAGGTCTCAAACTCCCTCTGCCAGGAGGTCAGCGTGGACAGAGGCACCACCAGCAAGAAGGGCCCGTAGAGCTGGTGCTGGTGGAACAGGTAYGACAGGAAGGAGATGGTCTGGATGGTCTTTCCCAGACCCATTTCATCAGCCAGGATAACGCTGTTGCACCTGAGGGGGAGAGGGTGGGGATGCTGCTCTCATTTATTTTAAAGGTAATAATAATAATAACATTTTTACAGATTCCTGTCTACCCAGGTGCAGAACTACTTTTAAAGCAGGAGCGACAAAGTAGAGGTGATAAACAAGCTCACGCATCAATCCCATCATGCTAGTATCAGTACCATCAGCATCATCATCTGTCAACACTAAATACAAATGGGATCTGATGAATTTACATTGAGTGTTTTATCTTTAAAAGTAATGGTTTGTTTTTCCCCTCTTAGTGTGTCTGGATAAGTTTAATCTAATTTACTGTCTTTATTGCGTGCTTGTGTTTATACTCTTGTATTTTATTGCTGTTTAAACATAATGGTGAGGTGACTACAGATGAAGAAAAAAAATCAGCTTTTTAGTTAATTCTGGCTTTTTAATCTTTGAATAATCATGTGATTTATTAAACTGCACTGCCTTGATTGGATTTGGATAAACAAATCCAATCAAATGGTAAATGGACTGTACTTATATAGCGCCTTTCTATCCATCCAGGACACTCAAAGCACTTCACACTACAGACATTCACCCATGCACACACACATTCACACACTGATGACGGCAAACTACAACTGTAGCCACAGCTGCCCTGGGGCACACTGACAGAGGCAAGGCTGCCATCCACAGGCGCCACCGGACCCTCTGACCACCATCAGTAGGCAAGGTGGGTAAGGTGTCTTGGCCAAGGACACAACGACTGAGTCGACTGGATGGGGATCGAACCGGCGACCTTCCAGCTCCGGGACGACTCCCCTAACCACTCTACCACAGCCGCACCTAAATATGCTGGTGTATATTCTAAATCAGCCAGCACATGAAAAACCTAGAAGGTTTAAGAAGAAATACAAAGACGTACAGCTCTACAAGCTTTAAACTACATGATGCTGGTATCAATAAGAAAAAATATCTGGATTAGTCCGAATATCACCACCTCAGTGATGTAAAACTTAGATAAAATGGAACATTGCACTGAAAAACTTTGAATATATATTCAATTTAGTAAGATTTTTCAAAAGTCCTGGGTTGGATTTGAATAAATAGATTTAAAAATAAAAATCTGCCTCGGGTCACGTTTGCCTGCAGTGTGAACGCAGCCTTCTATTTGCTGACATGATACCTGCACCAGGAGTGAGCCAGCCAGTTCAGCCCAGCCAGCTGATAATCTCTCAGTTCCAGGTTCTCATCACCGATATACGACGGCTGCTTCTTCAGAGCTACGAACCTCGGCCTCTGCTTCAAAACCTGAAATGAAGGTGATATTTTAATTTTCTTTTTTAATTAAGAAAAAAAGAAAACAGATCCAATTTTTTTTCCCAAAGCTGTGKCTTCGCTCTGACCTTGCAGTCTTTAGAGGGAACCGTCTTGCTGGAGTTCCGGTTCATGAAGCCGTCGATGCAGGACTGAAACTTCTTTCTGACCAGAGCTCCGTCCTCCCAGCTGCACTCAGAGTACGGCAAACCCATCCACTTACACAAGTACTCAGGTTCATTGGAGGATGGGATCTTGTGACTGTGAGCTGTTTCAAAAGACTACAGGTTATCAAAGGAAGGAGAGGCACAGCTTCACAGAAATATTTTTTTTTTAAATTTTAAATAAGATTTGGTGTTTAATCAGAACAAAGTACTCACAGGGGAAGTCAGAGGTTCCAGGTGTTTTTCCTGTTTTTGTTGCTGTTGATAATAAAGGTCAGTTTAGACTATGTTCTTCAAGAGAACTGAGAATATTGCAGCAGCTACAATAAATAATATAGAGAAAATAAACTCAGGTGTACTAATGAATATATGATTTGTAGACAGCTAAATTTGCTTTAATTAAGTCAACAAAGGCTAATCGCTACAGGAGACCAGTCGTTGTAGCTCCATGATGATTTCTCACCGATAACTCGCTCCACGAACTGGAACTGCTTTGTTAGTTCGGCCGTCAGCTCCTGCTGGCAGTTATGAAACTCCACATCCTCGGGACACGCCCTCCCCAACCTGCCAACAGAACTCAAGATTTAACGAAGAATCCCCAGAGAAGCATTTCTATGAACCAAAAACCCTCGACGCGAGGACTCTCACCAGGCGTTCAGCTCATCGTTTTTCTTCTTGAAGTTGTCCAGTTTCTTCAACCCTTTGACCTTCTGCTGCGTCAGCGAATCCATGCTCTCCCACGTGTTGTGGATGTACGACCAGCCCTTCCACTTGATCAGATACTGAGTCTCCCCTTCGTCCTTCTCCGGGTCGAAACCTTCACACGGGTCCCCGTTTTCCTCCACGGAATACACAGTGGTGGAAGCTCCAGTGGCTAAAAGAGGAGGGAAAAAACAACTCATCAGAGTGCACAAAAGCTAATTTTAATTCATCTTTGCTACACGTGGTAAACAGATTACCTCCTTTGCTGCCGGTTCTGCAATCGAGAACTTTCTCGATGGTCTCGCTGTCGTCGTCCTGCTGCTCCTCGCCAGCATCGCCCGTCATTTCGATCAGGTCGTCAGAATCGGTTTCAAAGTCATGTTGGTCCTCTTTATAGCTGCATCACAGGGTGTCAGCAGATGAGTCAACAGATAAAAGAYGAGCTTAGTTTCTGTAAATGCCATATTGTTTGTGCTAACGTAAATTTTTTTAACCTGAATATGTTCACGTTTTACATACAACTCAAACTAATTTTGTGATTTGTTTCTATGAAGATCTAAAAAAAATAAATAAAAATCACCTTTTAACTTTTGTGGCCCCCCTTCTTCGAGTCTGTCGTTTAGGAGTGTCTTCCTCGTCGTCGTCATCGTCGTCATCGTCATCGTCCTCATCGTCGTCTTCTTCAGCTGATGACTCCTGTTTCCTCGACTTCCTTCCCTTTTGAGACTGCTGCTTTCTGGATGAGGATTTGGTCTGAGGCCTGTGAAGTCACGGGAAAAACAACAACACAGAAACTGCTGATACCTCTTTACAAGAATTGGTAAAGAAAAATCAAAATATCAAATATTTAGTACAGACTTTCAGTTTAATCTAAAGAATGAAGGACAAATGGAAATAAAAATAAAGTGTCCACACAACATGATCTGGAGACCAGTGGGTAGCTGTCTGATGGCCAGGCTCTGCTAGTCTTACCTTCTAGCAGGAAGTCTTCTGGATCTAACTTTTTTCTCTTCCTGCTCACTGTCTGCACTGTCCGACGTCTTCTCCTCCTCCTCCTCGTCATCATCATCATCATTTGAGTCATCATCTTTCCAGATATTTCTTACAACAAAGAAATGCCACAAGTTCACCCTCAAGGCTCAGCACCACTTCCTGTCCCCAGTCCAAACTGCTTTAAGAAGCTCGGCCAATCGGTGCTCAGCGTGATCCGATTCAATCAATTCACTGATTCGAGCAACATTTGATTTAAATGTGGAACATCACCTGGCTGATAAAACTGAGCCCATTCTGAGACAGATACCCATTTATAAGTAGGCAGGAAATGGGAACGTTCACAATGAACACAAAGACTACAGAATGAATTGATGCTTTGACGACTAAAGAAATAAAATGATAAAATGTATCTAAATAAAACAAAAAGGACAATCTTTCTGCTTACTCCTTCTTCTTCAACCTGGACGATTTCCTTTTCGGGCTCTCGCTCTCGGAGTCGCTGCTCCCCTGTGAAGACATTTGAGCGTTGACTGCAGCTGAATCACAGCAACCACTAGATGGAGCGAACAGCTAATCTMCTGGATTATCAGTGTCTGTTAAGATTCCTCCAACCTTCTTCACATYGGCTTACCTCCGCTCCGATGTTGAGACGAGCCGGCTCCTGTCGGCTGCGATTTGACCTCCGGACGCCGTAAACATCTGGATGTTCCTCCCACATCTGTAAACCAGAGATAAGGACGTTCAAGACGGTGACACAAATTTGACCTGTCAGTGTCTTCTGGATGTTTCTAATGATGATATGACCTTTTAGACTGAAACACACCACAGGGTTCAGTGAAAACGGTTCCTGCTTCTCAAAGACCACTGAGCTCTACATTTGTGCTGCCCCTCTTTATATGTTCAGCTTGATCAATCGTCTCTCCATCGCCTGCAGTTAGTCCAGCTGCTCGTCTCTAACGGGTACCAGAAGGCACGACATCACTCCAGTTTTAGCAGATTTACTCGAGCTGCCTGTTCATTTTCACATTTAAAGATTCTTCTAACAGGGTTCATGCAGGTTTCTTCAGTAAGTTAAATTTAAGACCTTTTAAGACCATTAGGAATGACACTTAAGACCAAACTGACACATTAACAGGAACAGTCAAATGGTCCCAGAAACTTTAAAATAGAAACATTTTACTGCTAACAATTTAGCTATTAAAAATATTTAATGTTAATACAAGAACACTAAATTATTTYAATGAAACGGTCATATCTGACTGCTGTGTACCGCTTCCAACCGAGTGCAAAAATCCCTGATATGAAGCCAAGTGTCATTGAAAACACACTTTCCCATGTTTAAAACGACGAGCAGTGGACATGAATGAACTTCTTTTTTTTTTTTGTTTTGTTTTTTTTTTGCAGGTGAACAAGCTGCTGTATGCGGTGGGTTGTAGCGACAAAGAGGTCAAAAAACATGGAAGTAAACTGTGCCATTTTTTTGCCTCAGTTTTCACAGGATTTGTAGTTTAAACTTGTACAAAGACCGGTAGCAAACTTAGAACTTCATGAAGACAGATCGAGTCAACCTCTGATTAYGATACTTTATTTATGCAGCCAATACTTCTCGGGAATGATCGAAAGTGAAAAAWTTAAGACTTGACAAAATTTTATKTAAGACTTTGGATGAAAATCTGGGCGTTTTTAAGACTTTTTTAGGCCTAAAWTTTAGTTTTTCAAATTTTAGACTTTTTTAGACTTTTTAAGAACCTGCATGAACCCTGTTCTAAACCCAATTATTGATAAAAGCTTTTTGACTTTTATAACCTTAAAAAGCATTGAGATCCTCCAGCCAGATGCTTTTAATGCAGCCGAGTTCAGAGGTCAGGCGTCTGCAGTGACTTAACTCTGAAGATGTGATATTTTCTTGTTTTAGTTTTTAGCCTAATTTCTTCTTACATTTTTAATGCCAGATTAAATTTGTTTTTAATTATTGATCTTTGTTCCTGTTTGTTCTTAACTTTAAGAAGCACTTTGGTCAGTGTTTTTACGTGTGCAAATAAAAATCAATATTATTTGTTTAGATGAATCTACTGTGACCTTTTGTTGCACCTTATTAATGGATTAGTTCATTTTAGAGGCTGCTACTCTGTAAAACTGTAATATCACATTTAACTCCTTTAGACCCAAGCTAAACATTTTATTTCTAAGTCATTTCTGGCCAAAGAAGTTTGAAAGAAATTGTTTGTTCCCAAACATGTTTATTAATCTCTGTATTTTAAAAAAAGGGTATTAAAAATAATGTTTAAAAAAAATAACATAAAACAAAAAGAATTTGAGAGCTTCAGCTTTAACTGTAAACTATTATCCTTTTTTCAGTAAAAAGCTCCTTTTGCACCAAATGCAAACACTCTGCGAAAGCAATAAGATAAATTCAGGAGCAAACATCAAACCCCTCTAACTGGGATCAGCTAAAAATACTTTATTAGAGCACTTTAAATGCTCAAAAACCTGCTTGAGACAAGAATACATTAAAAACCTCTGATCTGACTCAGAATAAGGGACTAAAATGAATAAACTTTGTATAGTTAAAGATCCTGTTAGACCTTAATCACATTTAGAGCYGAGACCCAACCCGAGGCAGAGCCTACAATGTGGAACAGAAACATCAAGTCTCCACAGGTGGAGCTGATGTTACCTTTTTAACATCAGCTAGGCGCTCCTTCTTCCTAACAGGCTTGTCTTTGACTTCTGAAGTGGTCTGCTGAGACTTGGACCCTGTGGACTCGCACTCGGACTCTGAGCGGCTCTCTGACTCGGAGGAGCTGTTGGACTCCGAGTTGTGCGATCTCTTTCTCTCGCTGCCGCGCTCGCTTTCTGACTGACTCCCCGACTCCGAGGCAGAGTGGTTGGATTCCTCCGAGGCCGAGTTGCTACAGCGAGAAGAAGGCATTGAATCGATTGGTTTCCTCTATTTCGCAGTGAAAACATCAAGCCTTTGCTTCGACATTCACAAATAAATTTTAAATATCTCAAAAGCAAAATTATTCAAGTTTAATTGCACACACACCCACTTTACAATAAGAAAAGAAAAACGCATGAAGGTTCAAGTAATAGGCAATTCAAAAAGTGGATTTATAACCATCTTCTAATTTGAGTTTACTATATAGAGGAATTTGCCTAAAATAAATATTAGAATGCTCACTTTAAATTCAAATATATATAATATATAATGAATAATTACATTAAACGGTAGTAAATGTACCATGCCAGTCACATTTTATGACTGAATAAATCATTATGAATGCTGTGCTTCTTTAAGCAGGTCTGCTTGTAACACCAACTTTGTCCACATGAGATCGCCATTTTCTTCAGTCAAGAATAAATTTGCAGGATTCGACCAGAACCACTGCCTGAACAYGGGTAGAAAACAAAGACCCGTGTATCTTTTAAATGTGATCATTATTGCACAAGCTTTTGCGTTTTTATTTTTTAATACCATTAATATTTTTTGAAAGACTCCATATTTACATCATTTCAACATGTTTGTATTCTCCACCTTCTTTAAAATATGTAAATAAAACATGGCATGTTGACAAATACTAATTTTACCATATAAAAATAAACGTCCCTTCCATGTGAAAACGTGATTGCACAAACTGAAATGCTCTTTCAACCTAACACGGAAATACGCGGCTCCTATCGCTTTAAGAGCAGTGGGTGGGTCTTGGAAGCGAACTCAAACAACTATTGGCTGTCGCGTTGCTAGGCACATAAACAGCCAATCAGAGTACAGTACGCTCCTCCTCCACACCCCCTCCCCTTTTAAAGGTCTTGGCTCTTCCTGTTCCTCGTGTGTAGTTCTAGGCTGAGTTTTAATACAAGTTAAGCAAGCTGGGCACACAAAGCAAGTGCCATTTTGAGACTTGTGTGTGTGGGGATAGAAATTTACTAAAAAAGTGTTACTTTAAAGCCCCTAGCTTTGTGTTTCATTTTTTTATTAACCTGAATGCTGCTTTCAGTGCTTTACGTTTAAAAAAAAAAGAAAGATGTTCAGCTTTCATTACTGAAGAGGACATTTTACTCAGCTCAATAGACTAAAATGGCTGCCACAAGATCTCAGACATAAAACTACAAGTATGATGCAACCTCATGCAGTAGTCAGTAAAATGAACCTTTCAGTATTAAACGTACCTTTTGTCTTAAACATAACTACAAAAGCTCTGCTGCTTTATTTACTTAACAGCAAATATTACACTGAAATAAATCTGTGCAAACAAAAAAAATGTCATGAACACTCATTTTAATTCAGCACTGTCTTGACACCACACAACAGGGCATTATCTTTATTAAAATTAAATTTTCACTCATTTAAATTTGCATTAAATATACATTAGAAAATGTTTTATTGCAAAACATTTTATTCCAATAAGGACCGGAGTCTTTTGTTTTAATAATGTCACCATGTTGGGAGTTTTAAGTTTTGCACAAATCTACCCAACTTAGAAGAGTCAAATGTAAAGTCACTCAGTCACATGTTTAAAACAAGTTGTGTTACTTTCTTGTACCTTTATTAATCCAAATTAAAAAGTAAAATAAATTATGTGGGACACTCTTGGATGCATAATGTAAAATGATTTAAATCCAACAATCATTGTGTGTTCATAAATTTAACTCTATTTGCACAAGCCTGTCAAGTTAAAAGTGTAAATATAAAATCTCCACTTGAAGCTAAAGGGTGAAAAAAGTCAGAAAATGAAAGAAAAACGTGAACACAACTCCAAAACACACAAGAGTGGACAAGTGATTAAGCTTTACTAGTTTTTTTTAAACAACTGTTACAATCTGTAGGAAACAGTGTTTAAAATACATGCATAACAAAACCATTATTCAAACAATTAAATTTGTCAAACTAACTTTTTAAGAAAAGTAATAGATTGGTTAAAAATAGAGACTACTGGAAACTGATAATCACAAACAACAATGCTGTGTAAAATAACAAACATCAATCCCTGTATGTTTACAAAATAAAGACAAAATGTGAAATAAATGAAACCCAAACAAGTTTTTTTTTTTTTTTTAGTGGTGCAATGCAGTCTTAAAATGTAAGGCAAGGTCATATAAAATAAAAGACACATTTGCATTCAATTAATAAACAGAACAAGGCAAATTTCCCCTGTGGACAAACACCTACATCTTGTGAGGAAAATGTGTAAAAATCACCTCAGGATTGAGGGTCAGAAAATGGTAGGAGAAAAAAAAAAATCAGGGTGTGGCTATTAAAACAATAGCAAGGTCATTCATGACACTGATGAACTTATTCAAATACACGTCTTAAATCTTTACAGGTGGTCAACCATGAGTGAAAAGGTAAACAAACAAAGGCAGAAAACGAGAAAATGTAAGTAGAAATGATCATACCTGGAGGCATTGCTTTGAGTCGAGCCTTCATCCTCTTGCTTTTTTTTACTCTTCATCATCGTAGTCCCTTAAAATCCTATAATGTATTGTTTTTGTTTTTAATCCTGGCATTTACTGTCCACAAAAAGTTAAGAGGCATGAACCATCAAACAAGCTCCCTGAGGATTGCCTTTTCTCTGATGGCAGCTAAAACCCAGACGGTGAAACACGAGTGAGGGAAATGACAGCAAAACGTTTAAGATTCATTATTTACAGTAGTAAATAACAATAAAGGGTCCAGTGGGGGGGAATGGCAGCACGTTAACACCAAGCGCATATTGTTGAATATAGTCCACGGATTAAGCCGCATGCCAATTTTAACTGCGTCATCACATGAATCATAAGAAAAATATCTTTAACGATTGAGAAAATTGAGTAAATTACATAYCACACAATGTAAACATGTCCATTCAATGAGAAGAAAAACTCTGCTATAAGTCAAATAATAAGATTCGCCTTCGATATGTCGCAGTTCAAAATTGCCATTTTGGTCGAATAAAAGTAATATGCCATAAAAATAATAAACACGTTAAATTAGGAACAAAAATAAAGGTTAAACTATGTTCGCAGGCCTTAGTGGTCCACAGTGAGAGTCAGAGCGCCAGAGCCGAGCAGCAGCAGCTAAAATGGAGGCTCGTCATGGCTGCCAGAGCTCCGTGTGGAAAACAACGACTAACAGCTCGTCCGGCTCGCGACCGAAAAAAACGCCTCAAAAACGCACAAAATCCTGCTAAAAACCCACCGAACACTCGTCGGCTTCGACTTTACAACCGAACCGAGCGGAAGCGACCGAATTCAAAGCCTGAGAAGCGGTCAAACGACAGCCCGTGGCGCCCCTTCCCGAGCCTCAGCCGCCATCTACAGCTCCTTCCCTGCTCTGAAAGCTTCGCCTTTGATTGACGTTATTTCCATTTAGCCCACACTCAGGTGATGCCTAAGTCCCTCCCCTTTTTATATCTTTAAAATCTTCTTTAATAAACTAAATGCATTATTTTAACCCTAACACACAAGCTTCATTATCAAAACTTTCTTCTCTATAAAAAATTGTAAAAGACAGTGGAGAGACTGAAATTAGAATATGTTTGCAGCATTTACATCACTTCCTGGTCAGACAGGAAGAAGGACAAGCAGTGGCCATTTTAGAAATCCTTCCAGGCTGTTTTAGAACCCAATTGAATTCAGAACAAACCTCTTTGAATGGCTATAATCTATAGCTTTTTGTGATTTCAACCATATTTACCAAGAAAGAACCACTTAATCTCATCAATCCAGATTCTAATTTCCATTTTCAGAGTCCATAGAATTCACCAAACACTAAGACAAAAAATAGGGAACTTGCTTAGTTTTTTCCACAYGTAAGGTAAATTGATTTTACCAACATCCAATTAACACTGTAACGTTAAAGATTTCATGCCCCAAAACAGAGGAATCAAAGATTTTCCAGATGATCAGCTAATGAAACAAAGCCAGTGTTAAATACGAAGACATACACTTTATTTAAAACAACATTTGAATATAAATCGTACAATGACTGACTTTGTTTAAGAGTCCAAAACGCAGTTAGCATCAAAGATCCAGGAAGTCCATGTTGCGGTAAAAAATAAATAAATGAAATAAAAATGAAATAAAAAAAGTAAAGCTAAAAGTTGTAAAAAATCCAATTGTTCGGACCGAAAAAACGTTCATCTTGTCAAAATTTGGCTCATCTGCCAAATCACTCGCCATCTTCACGTTAAACAACGCTGTCTCCAAGGCGGAAAAATCCACTCGATTGGTGTCTTGATAGGACAAAAAAAAAAAAGAATTGTAAACCCACAATGCAACTGAAATAAGAAATGATTAACTGACCAACACTTTATAACGTATAACGAAACAAGATAAACAAATCAGTTAGCTAGCCTTCATTTGAACCTCGAGCGATCGTTAGCTAGAAAATGCGATGCTTTAAAACATCACTATTCATTTAAATAAGAAGTTTTATATTTTAAACCAACTTAATTTGGATTTTAAATTGAACTGTTTTTGTAAATCCAAGATTATCAATGAACTGATCTTGAAGTTAAATGTCAACAATCAAGTCTGTGCTAAATTAATCTCCAATGATTTGGGAAAAAAAAATCCTAAACTGACCACCAGGGGTACAGTAAGTGAAGAAGCGAAACCTATAAAATGTTTTGTATAAAAACTCAACGGTGATGATGTTCACACAATTTAGAGAACTTTGTGGAACCAGTTGACAAGTGAACACTGATAAAAAACTGAATCAACAAAATTACTGCATAAAACCCCAAACCCAACCAACAAATAAACACATTAGCATCGTGAAATGAAGCTGCTGTTCAGTCGTCATTTCTGTATCTAGTGTTCAAGATCTGAATAACCTTGTCCTGTAGCTTCTGAAAACAGATATATAAACATGAATTAAAGTGAGAGGGTACTATTTTAAAGCTGCCAGAACTTTTAGCAAATCCAAAAAGGACAAGGCCAGAGCTTGTAGAAAAATTTAGCTTTTATAAGAAAAAAGTGCCACCAGGAGGTAACAGTCAACATTCACAAAATAGCTTTCTTAAAAAAGCTAAAATACGTAATTATGCATGTTACTACAAAAATACACCAATTATTTTACATTTTATAACAATTGAATTAAGTTATTAAAAAAGAATCCACATTAATTGATTGAAGATTACTTAAAAATAAGTGGAATTTGCATTTGGTCTATTAAAATTAGATTTGAAAATTTTATTCATTTTATTTAGTAAGTGTGACAAGAAATATCTAAAAGTAGGTGAAAGAGAAAAAAATAAAAACTTACCAAGCTGTCTGTTTCTTCAAACTCTGAACACCTGTTCATCAGTCTTCCATATCGCCACTGTGAAGAAAAAGAACCATTACTGATAAAGTCCAAAAGTTAGTTTTACTTCCACAGTCATGATTCTGAACCAACAGGTGAGTTTGATACACAAAATGATATAAAGTGAACCAAGGCCAAGCACAACTTAAACACACAGCAGGCTTTAAATGCAACATAAATAATTTATCATTGAACATAGACACTGATAGAAACTGAAACACAAACACAATGCAAACATTAACATGACTCTAATGGTTTTACTTGAAGCTTTTATTCCATTAGTGATGTCAATCTATGTGTTCTTAAGAAACAATTTTTTTGTTCCCAAAATAGTTTATCCATGAAGAGCTTCCAATATCCCATAGTTTTCAAGCTAGCGCATTAGACTAAACAACATAATAACCACAGTTGAAGTAGTTAAGGAGATCTCAAAATCTTTGTGTTGTTAAAGTGAACCGCACAAAAATACGCAATTTTTTAGCAAGCAGGCTTGATTTGGGATTGATCATGTGCTCGACCATATGTTTGAGGTTAAATTTACCACATGTACCTCATCAAAAGGCCAGATACAGAAAATGAGAAATTTCACATACAGACGATGACACCAAAGTCATGACTAAGTGATCAAATGCCTGTAGGATTAAATTTGACTGAAGTCAAACTGCTGGAAAAATAAAAAAAAGACATATTCTTAACAACTGCAAGAACATTAGATACCTTAAAGATTAGATTAATAATTTGTTCGGACTACAAGGACACAAAAATGTGCACTAAAATCTTGGTGAGATAAACTTTGTAATATTTTTAGGTTTTTTCTTTTTTCTAGACTTTTTTCTAGACTGTTGGGGGG